CCCCCCCCCCCCCACGTTTTCCTTCCCTGCAGGTGTTCTCTCCCAACCAGCTGTACCGTAAAGGCATGGTGTTCTGGGAGATGTTCAAGCCGTACGTGACCTTCTTGAAGGAGGTGGACGCTATAAACAGTTGGGGACGGCCACGGAGAAGGTCCGCCCTTGTGTCTGGTTGTGTTTATATGTACATGTGTGTTGCGTGTGTTACGGTGAGTTTTGTCTGCTTTGTAAATGTGTTTTGTGTCGTCTTTCATTGTGTGTTTCGTTCGTGTCGTCTGTTATTTGATATGTTTGTGTCTGCTTCGTTTGCTCGTGTCTTCGTGTTTCGTCGCGGTGTTTGTGCGGGTGTCTGTGTGTGCTTGCATGTGTTCCTCTCCCATTGACACGACACCAGCAGCTTGTGTGTGTTCCCGGCACGGGGTGTGTGTGTTTGTCGTGTGTTTGTTATTTGCTTTCCCTTCTGTCAGCATTCGCTCTGCTCTGCTTGCTAACCAGGCGACCAATGAAATGACGTCATTATCCGCCGGCAAAACAGCACATAAAATCTTTCGCATACACGGGCTACCCTCGACAGGGGGCCGGGGAGGATAATGAAAATAGCCTGGTAGGTATCCAATCCCTTCCCACGGGTGACGCCGTCCTCGGATCTCGATGCCGGTGTTGCCCTTGACCCTTCTTGGCGACCCGACGACCCGACCCGCTGATGCTCCTCCGTTGCCTCCCAGCTTGATGTGGATGCTGGCTGTGGTGGGGATGCTTGTCGTGCCGCCCGTGTTGATCGTGGTTGTCAACGTGGCGCTAATGCACATCGCCGTCTCCGCCTATCTGTGAGTGGGTGGTCGGGAGCGGGAGGGGAGCTTGTCTGGTGTTGGTGGTCCTACGTGTGAGACAACTTGCCGAATGAAGGGGATGATACGACCAAAGACAGAGAGACGTGTTCGGGGTCGAAGAATGATGTTGAACGAGGGTGAGTTGTCGTAGCACCAGAATCGCGGGAGTGGTCGCGCCCCCCCATAGACAGCACAGCGATTGCTCCACAAGTGGGAGAGAGTTAGGCAGAGTTCCCAAAGCGATAAGTGTGTTCTTGGAAACATCTCGTCGAGAGTTCGTTTTCATGGCCGGGGTTGTTTTGTACACCCTCTTGGCAGCGGAGCAATCGGTCAACCTATCAAAGTCGGTCTGGGGGACGAGCGACACCTGCTGTCGCAATTACCGTTCCCGGAGAAGAGTTGCGACTACTGCGGCTGTATCGCTGCGACTATCGTTGTCAACGCAGTTCCATGTACGCACGAGCCACTTCCGACTTCATCAGAAGACAATGCATTGCGGCTCAGCCCACGTACCACTTGTGCCCCGTGCCCTGGAGCTTCTGCGGCAAAGACCAAACGTAGACTTTTGCCAAATTCTACTTACCCTCCACCAGCAGGAAACGTCGCAGCGGCGGCGGCGGCGGAATAATTTTTTGCCAGGATGACGGCACCGACAACGCTTCAACAGCGGCAGCAGCAGCAGCAGCAGCAACAACAGCTGAAGCACCGGCGTCGACCGACCCGACCTCTAACGACCCGTCCCCCTCATCGCTGGTAACGGCCCCGGCGGTGACGGACGAGCGTAGCGGCGGCCAAGAGGAAGGTTTGTCGTCCTTGCTTGGGACGCCATGGTTGGGCGACAACGCTGGCACCGGGGGCGGCAGCCGGCGTCAGAGCTTGTTCTTTTTGCCCGCGTTTGCGTCATCGCCCGTCTCCCCCGCCCGTGTTGGCGGTGGAGGTCAGGAGGGAGGAGGAGGAGGAGGATGCGACGGGGGGGGAGGGGAGGAAACCACGGAACCGTCCATGTCCATGCGGTCAACTTCTCGGAGGTGAAGTAGGAAACAGAGGAGAGGCACTGGCAGGTGCATGCGTTGCAGTCACGCCGTTGTAGCCGGCGCGGATTGCGTCTACCACCCTAACCCCTCAAGGTCATGTCGTTCTCCTGGAGATTCAGACGCATTATCTGTTGACTGCCGTACAATGCCCATCCAGGGTTTTCATGTTCGGTGTGCGTTTCAGACACGCTAGGATTATGTCCGCCATTGTGCACAGACTGCTGCTGTGTGACCAAGATCATGAAACTACCGATGATCGAGTTGCCACTGCTTTGCCCTTCACACAATATTTTGATGGTCCGTGGCACTTGAGGGGCGCAGCCCTGAATGAATTCTGGTAACTGCGAATCTTCCCCCTGTTTTCGTTGCCGCCTTTACTCTTTTCATCGTCTTGTTATTGTCTGTTTCGCCCGCTCCCTTCTCATTTTGTTCAGTCAGCGGAAGAGCTCGACTACCCTCTTCTCGCTCTCACGCACGCTCACACGAGGGTGAGAGCGAACTTTGCTGTAGATTACCACTGTTTTGTGTTTATCTTTTCTTGTTTTCTTTCCTACGCGGGGGGGATGTATGCGTACTGTAGGCAGGCGCGCGTTGTGCTGTCGTCGTCCGCGGTCTAGCTCGTGTTTTCGGTGTCTTCCCGACTTGTCGTCTCACCCAGTTATAGGTACTTGGTCGCTGTTGCTGTTGCTGTGCTTTGTCGTGCCGGCGATGTGCGTTTTAGCGCGATGTTGCGTGGTGTGGTGCGGTGGAAAAGAGCCGCTGCACCCTGTGCCCGTGGGATGTAGGCATGCATCGTGTACGAGAAAGATGTTTTTGTTTTTGTTCTTGTCTTGTTCATAGCCCGGCATCGATCGGAGCCCTTGAGGTCACGAAGGAATACATGACCATACGGGAGGTGGAGACGCGCGAGCAAGGCTTTATGAGGAATTTATCGCACAGCCTCAACATACCTGAAAAGGCACACAACCATAAGAACACCGGAAAACAATATCGGAGAAACACCAGAATTGGCTGTTGTATTTTTGGAAATGTGCTGCTAGAAGTAGGAGAGCCAACCAGAAAATTCCCGTTCTGCAGTCGGCTCTCCGCTTTTGTGGCGATGTAGGACCGGTTCTGAATGACCGACCAACCCGCGACACGGCCTGCTTATTTGAAACCCATTGAAGATACAATGCCTGCAGCTTTTGACTGTTCAGGGACTTGAATCCGCCGAGTACATGGCTCACTGAACTTGTGTGGAAGCCTTCGCACCCTGTTTTGCACTATTACGGTTGACGACAATGTGCCGCGTTTGCTCGGGATCCTTACTTTCCGGAATCGCGGCATACCGGTCAGGCGGAGGGTAAGCGACCCCGATCCTGTCACCGCAAATACTGTGGGCTCCTCTACGGCTGGCGTAGCATTACGGAACAGCTCATCGGCACCGTCGCGGACCGCGCCTTGGAGTAAGTTTTTTTTGTTTTTGCGTTTCTTTCATGTGTATGCGTGCCGGTATAGCGCTATGAGTGATTTATACCTCTTGTGCTAGTGTGTCGATGTGTCTGTGGATGATTCTGGTGATGTTTGTGAAACGCGCGAACGGACTGACAAGTAAAAGACGTCGTTAGTAGCGACACGTTCGTTTTGACTACTACCTCTGAATAGCCAGCTGGATGACCATCAAGAAGTCCGGTCTTAGTAGGATATAGGAGTCGAGACATGTTGTAGTGCCCCCGTCAGGAATTTGTTGATTTTTTTCTTGCGGGGCTGATTAGTTGGCCCGCTATCTCGCGAAGGCCAATCCATCTCCACGCCTGTACCCACAACGAACGCAAGCAACACGGCCTCTTTCAACGCCTCTTTCAACGCCCCCTCCCCCTCAGTTGTCCTCCATTCGAGAAAGTGCACGCGAATATCCCCCTTCCCTCCCCTCGAGGATGCCTGCTCAGTGGTCTAGCAACTTAGGCATGAGTAAGCCCCCCTCCCAATCCCAATTCACTCCACGGCAACGCAGGGGCCAAGGCGCCAAGGTCTGCTCCCCCCTCAACCATGACGATGCCTACGACCATGGCCCGGACGTCGATCTTCGCAGCCAGCAGCGGAGCCCCCCAGTCCCCGTTCACTCCGCGTGATCTGTCCATCTCGAACGCCGCCGGGAGCAGCAGCAACAACGTTAACACCGGGCCGGGAGTTGGGGCTGGGGTTTCCAGAGACGTTGTTCACGCCGCGGGGGTTGCTAAGGGGGGCATGATCTCCGCGGCCGGGGCGGGGAGCAAGAAGATCAAGAAGCTGCTGCCTGTTTGGGGTACCCGCGACCCGGAGGTGAGCGAGCTTTGTGGAATACCGTACCGTGGCATACAGAACGGGAGATAGGAAAGGTCGATACCGGGTCGAGGCTCAGTTTCTTTCTTCGTCGCCACTGAAGATGGCATACGATGTGCACTACTGGATGGAGAGTTCCGTGTAGGATCCACCGCCGAGCTTGTTTCTTAGACCTAATTTTTTACTTTTCACGAGTATTTGAGCCTCTGTTTCTAAACGAAATACTTCATCACGGCGGGTCCGTTCTGTACCGTATCGTGGGATACAGAACGGGAGATAAGAAAGGTGAAACCCGGGTCGGGGCTCAGATTGTTCTTTCGTGGCCACTGCCGTCGAGCACAGGGTGCTGTAATGGATGGAGAGTTCTGTGTAGGATCCACCGCCGATCTTGTTTCGTAAACCCAATTTACTTTTTTTCATGAAATGTTTTGAGCTTATGTTTCTTAACGGAAATACTTCTTCACTGCGCGTGGTATCCCGTAGCACCACAACAGTGTTGATAGGTGCATGGAGAGAGGGAGAGGCGGTGGGGGGCCGCGTGACGTGACGTTCATCGACGAATTGCTTTGGCAAAACTTAGGAACAAGAAGGCAAACAAAGTTGGACAGCAGGGAAGGAAGGTAGACAGCAGAATATCACACCGGTGGGGTCAGTAGGAGGGGAAACGGACGGCGTCCTATTTTGCGTGAGTTGAGGAATGGCCTTGGTGCTTGGTGCAGGGTGCAACGCCGTAGAGATAATCTTTACTGCCTGGCCAATTTCTTTTGGAAGAAATATTTGTCGGTGGGCGAAAAGTCCATGCTCGGTAGGTTGATGGGTGGGTTAATTCCTCCGGAGAGGAGAGGCTCTGTTGTTGTTGTTGGAATCATCGTGACTTGTTTGTCGTCGGTGTTTTCCAGATTTCACGTGGATTGTTGGATTGTTGCTGGGGTTTGTGCTGCTGCTGTTGCTGTCTGTCGCTACTGCTGCCGTGCGTAGTAGCTGTTTCGCGTCGTGGCCGGCTGCTAATTTTGGGCTCTCTCGCTCATGTGCGTCCCCCTCTGTCTGTCTGTCTGTCTGTCTGTCTGTCTGTCTGTCGGCCATACTCCATCAGCTGCGCGAGCTGTACGAGAGGCTTGGCAGCACGAAGAGGGTGCCGGCGGTGGTGAACCAACTCGGGAAAGTTTTCTTCACCAAGAGCGGACCGAGCATGCAGCTAGGGGTGAGCACCAGCCCTGTCACGCTAACTGTCACAATTACTATCTCTGTCACTATCTCTTATCACTATCACTATTTCTGTCACTATACTATATACGTTTCAGGTGCGGATCCTTGAGCCCTCCATGCCGCGGCACTTGGTTTGGCCAGGATGCCGTACGATCACCTTGAAAACATCATGCCAGCGACGGAGCGAGATAGAGAGATAGATAGATAGATAGAGAGAGGTCGAGGGCACACCTCGTCCCGTAGTTGATCCGACGCACCTATACTGTGCCGAGGAATTATTATTTTCAATCGACGATTGACTCATGAAGCACATCGATGGAACCGTTTTTCTGTGCTCCAACACGTCAACACAACGACCACAATAACGACACTGCAGCAGCAGCGGCGGCAGCGCATTGTCACAGGTCAACTTCAAGAGAACCCTGTGACTAAAGCCGACACCTGTGATCACTGCCCACACTGACCACGTCGTCAGCATCGACTGCGACTGCCCGCCTGCCGACCTCTGAAACCTTGGAATGTTTACCTTTGTCGTTACCTTTGTTGGCTGCGCCTTCTCCCCGGACAGCTGGACAAGATGGGCGTGATGCTCATCAAGATCCGGCAGAGGTTTCACCCGCTGCACGCGAGGGATCTGGGTGTCACAATGACGGCGCTATTCGCTCACATGGTCCTCCAGCTCTGGCTATACGTTTCCGGAAGGTAGATGTGGCGCTCTGACTTTATAGAGTGTTGTGCGAGCGACAGACAGCCTATCAGTGTTGGTCTTTGCCTCTCGGCGTTGGTCTTTACCTCTCAGTGTTGGTTGTTGCCTCTCAGTATTGGTCGTTGCCTGTCGGTGTTGGTCGTTGCGGGTAGGAGTAGCCAACTATTGGCTACGCGCATGGATCAAATAGGTCGGTCTAGCTCATGTTCTCGTTCCCAGGAAGATAGCTATGCACTTGGTGCCCGATGAAGGTCGTCAACCCTAACGCTGAAACCCTCAAACTTGATTTGGACTTGATTTTGGCTTTCAAGACCATGCCACCCTAACATATCCTCGGCCCCTCCGCCCCTGTGCACTTACATCCGTACGATGCGAGCCAGGTTTAATCTGTACTTCGTCCTCTTGGTGGTGAGCCAGTCCCTGAGCAACCTGTACAAGCGGTGGGGCAAGGCCTTTGTCCTAGGTCTCAAGGAGGCGAGAAGGTCGTGCCGCACTCGCCAGGCGCTCTCTCACGCCATGTCCGCCACCGCCGCTAACGCCGGCGGCGGCGGCAGCAGTGTGTTCGCTACTACCTCTTCCTCCCCGACTGGGCGGCGGCACCCCCCCTCCCCCTCCGCCGCTGCCGCTGCCGCGATGGTAGTTCGAAACACTTTCATGTTCGACGCCGCGAATCCTCCGGCGTTTGCGCCCCCCGGCACGACGCCCGCGTTGGAGCCGTACCATAACGGAGACGGGCCGCAGCAGCAGTCGACGTCTTTGTTCTTCGCCGCGTCACCTCTGAGGGGGCGGGGGGCGCGACGGAGAAGGGGGTCAGTAGCCTCGAGCGGCAGCAGCAGCATGGCCACTACTAGCTCCGGTGGAGTAGGGGGTTCGTACCATGATTTCAGGGGGGGGGGAGGCGCCGAGAGTGATACCGCGACACCCCGGAGACGCGGAGGAACCGTCCCCTCGCTGCCGGTCTTGGTTTCGCCGCCCAGGGCTCGGTCCTTCGCGGTGTTCCGCGGCGGCAGCAGCAGCAGCAGTAGCGGTAGCGGTAGCGCTCGGCCCGGAGCATCTGACGGCAGCGGACGACGGCAGCCGAGCCCAGAATCCGACGTTGGCGATGGTGGTGCTGGGATCGAGGGGCAGCGACGGGGGGGTGCGGGCGGCGGGAAGCCTCGGCGTTGGCGTATGCTCTGGGGGAAGAGGACCAAGACCGGTGGCGGCGGTGGCGGCGGCGGTGGTGGTCTCGCGGCTCGCGGTCAGGAGGAAGCCGATCGCGAGCAGGGAGGGGACCTACGTTCCCCATCCCCGGTGCCGCCGCGGGGCGGAAACTCTCACGGCGTGAGGGCCAGAGGGAAGATCCGGATGAGGTGGGGGAGAGTCATCGGCGCGACGGTCGCGTTGGTGTGCGGGCTGGCGGCTCTGTCGGCAGTCCCGGGGACGTTCTTTTCTCCCCCGCAGGAATCGGTCGAAGAGCCCGTGCCTTCGTTGGCCGCGATATGGCAGGCAGTTGCAGTGATGTTGTCAGGGATGAGGGCGTTCTTGTCCTTTGGAGGGAACGGTGGGCTGGGGGAAGCAGCTTGGAGGGTAGCCGGTGCCAAGATGACCACCGTGTGGGGATCGGGCCGGGAGCGGTTGTGGCGGGAGGGGGCGTCTGCGGCGGCGGGCTACGACGATGACGAAGGCGACGCCAATAACCATGATGAGGCGGCGAGTTCAACACTGCCGCTCTCAGCAGTGCTCAAGTGACCTAGATGAGATACAAAACACCGGCAAAATAAACCATGTGTTGGCGCTGCTAGTTGCGATTGTTTCGAAGGGTGTTCCTTGCCTTCTTTTGCACAGGTAGAGCTTTTTGGTCGATCGGTGTCGAGGAGGATGAACCGGAACCATCGAGCAAGATGTATCCCATCGCAACGCGCCTCGTCTCCCTTCGCGTTGTATTCTGTAGGCGGCAGCGCTCACCGCCGGGACGGCATAACCTCGACGGCAGCGTTCGCTATCTACTAGTATCCACGGGTTCGGCCGGCCGTCTGCATAGGTTGGTGTACAGACGTGTGACTCGTGGTAGCTTTCGTGCCCAAGTGGCGCTGTCCCCAAATGTTGGATGCGGCCTGCGTTCAGAGTAGGTGGCAAGGCAGAAATACGAGCCTGCTGTGTACATTGTTTGGTTTGTATTTGATGGGGGCGAATTGTTCGGCTATTATTCCTGCAGATGCACTTTCGTGTTTTTCCCGGAAGCTCGGACACCTTCGCGTGTACGGTACCCAGGAAGGACCAGGCCAGTATTGCGAGGAGTTGCAACAGCAGTATGAACGTCTGGCGAGCGTACAAGTTCAACTAGAATTATTTACAGATACGGTATGCATACAGTGCATTGCTGGCATGTCAAGTACAGTGCAGTCAGTCCTTTTTGGCGAGATTTTTTTTTTTCTATCCATACCTGATGTGTTTCTGTTTGTTGGAAGCGTCGGAGAGAAATCTGTGTACCATCTCTGAGAGTTGTGTATCTAAAATTGTTTTAATGTGAGATTTTCCCAATTATTTCGCGGGGTGAGCGGCCTTACAGTTACATTACAGTTTGTATTATCACTATATGCATGATAGGACCAAGAAAAGTGGTGGTCCTTGACGCCTTCGAGGGTGTTTTTTATCTGGAACCCACTCGACTTGACATGTTTTTTGTTCGTTTGTTTCGTCTCGAAGTGCTGTGTCTCGTTGCTCTTTGTCTCTACACTTTGTTCAATTTTGCCGGCGTGGGTCGTAAGGGCCACTGTATTAAGTCAGTACGCGTTTTATGCAGTTGCCACCACTTCAGCAACATGTTACGAATTTGACCGATGGTTGGCTTTGCTGTTGTTGTTGTTGTTGTTGCCTGCTGTGGATTGGAGGAACTTTCGAAAGGACTTTCGAACTGGTGCTACAAAAGAATCTGACCTGTTCGTTTCTGCGTGACGATCTGCTTGTTTATCTTCTTCTTTGTTTGATGGGAGGGAAGGCTGATGATGATGTGCATGTTGTAATTCGTTTTGTTTTTATCACACTGCGCTTTGTCTTCTGTTTTGGCGGTTACTGCACCCTTGCTATTTTCTCCGTCTTTCTTTCTTTGATCTCTGGCGTTGCATCATCAGTCTGTCTGTCTATGTGTCTCATGAGGTAAGTGTAGGCGTTGGCCAAGGTGTAATTTGCGGCAGCCTCTCTCTCTGTGTGTATGTAGTGCACGTTGTGTGTGTCAAGATCCTTTGTCGTACAGCAAGTACTGTACCGCAGGAGGCAAAAGGCGGAGTACAAACAATGAGTAGCTCCCGTGGGAACCTTCCTCCTGCGTGACTCTGGCTGATGCGTTAGAAACGTCAACCGTAAGGTGTGTAGACGCGCTGGATGGGGCGACAAGACACAAAACTCAAAACGTGTGGTCTGGTCTCCGCGAGCAAGACTGGTTGTGGGCTTCGTAGTATTGGTTGATCGTTCTCGTATGCTGGTACCGCTGTAGAGTAGGCAGAGAGACCGCCGGGTGCTCCTTCCTTCCTTTGGTGTCAGGGGCTGATCTCATCTGTCCTCTCTTGTGTTTGTTGTCGAGAGCCTCTCATCTCTCATCAATGGCGGCGTCTCGGGCAGTTGGTGTCCTCCTCATGGCATTCTCATACCATATTATGAAAAGCACCCGAGTACTGCTGCATATAGTTTTTTGGTGTTTAAAAACTCACGAGTTTGTTGCCTCTTCTGTGGATGGTATTCAGCAGTAAATGGCCCCGATATCTATCGCGGTGTAAAAAATAACATACAAATAAGTGACAGCAGAGAAGAATCACCACGAAAAGCGCTTTACTGAGAAATAGGAGGCTTACAGGATGTTGCGCCAAGGGAAACGTTTACTGCGATATATCAGGAACGGCGATACACCGCACATGAGAACCACTTATTGTTTCGCCCAAGACTCGTTTCTGTTTCTTGTGTTGACCATATGAAGTACCCCAACAGTGACTATATAGGTTTTAGTGTAGGGCTGAGCACGTTTTATTACGACCAAGTTCGTAAAGTTCCTCTGTCTTGAGCCTGGGTTCCTTAACTCCCAGGTTCTTCGGTGCGGACGCAAACGCTAGCTGTATGTGGAGACCACTACCGTAGTCATACACAGAGAGAGATGACTTAATTCAACTGGCTCTATTGGCTTATTTGGTCGTTCTGCGGAGTATGTGGGAATGACTCACATGACCAAATGAGTCATCAGCTTCAAGCATCCGATTCCCGGCCATTTCCGTTGTTGGCCACCGAGGGACCAAGACACTCGTCGTGTCCAACCGCAGTTGTGCGCCATGGCCGCTATCCAACAAAAACCTCTTTTTCGGCGTGTTTTTTTCCTCTCGGAGTGTTTTCGGTCGGTCGCTGGCTCTTGCACTCCCTCTTGGAAGAAACACACTCACTCCCATAATTTTTTGGCTGCTATGTCACGGCCTGTATTGGCTGGGGACTGTCATTGTGAAGAATCGACCATTCTTTGGTTGGTAGGGCATTGCTCCTGTCTGTGGGTCAACGCTGGAGCATGCCTTTGAACACTGACCCCATCTCAACCATGCCCTCTCACCTCGCCGTGCACACACCTTTAATGTTTTGGAATAAAACTAGCGCTTTTGTACAGACAAAATTCACTGAGAGAACGAAGCCCCACACCAATTCAACTCCCTTGTTTCGATGATTCGGATGGTGTGGAGTGCGAGAGCACCTCGGCGTTAAGTGCAGAGTAGGCAGTCGTTCCCAACCGGCTCCGGGTGCTAATCCCGAGGGATGGGGATGGATCCGGCAGACGCGGACCACACGTGCAGCATCGCTTCGCCGGAGTGCCAGGGTCACCCGGAGCATTTTCTCGCGTTCCCGTACTGCTGTCGCTGGTCGACACAATACAAGGATATCGATCGTCCCGAAAACCAAACGTACGGACCGCATCTATCTCCCGAGTTTTTCTACTCGATGAAGGAGCGCAGAGCGGGGACTAACCCAAACGGAGACAAGATTCAAAATTTGTTTTATTACTGTGCCTTCAAAGCGCTACTCGGGTATCAAGGCGCCACGGTTGTCCGCTTGTCGCCGTCCCACAGATAAAAGCCTTCGCCGCTCTTCCGTCCCAGCTTGCCGGCCGCCACCTTTTCCCGCAAGCATTTCGGGACGACGAAGGAAGGCTCATCCGGGTATTTTTGCACCCATCCATCCAAGATCGACAGGCAGATGTCGAGACCCACGTAGTCCTGTGCCGATGCGTCGGATCAAGAGGGGAGCGATGGCTTCAGGAATCTTTTTCGTTTTGTTCATGACGTCAAATCAGCGCTTACAGAACCGTGGTCATACAGAAGGTAGCAAAAAAGAGCAACGACAAAAACATGTGTTGTAGTACCACAGAAAAACACGTGTGCTTGCATCAACTGGCAGAGCTGGAGCCACGAGGTCTAAAAGTTGTGCGCAAGCATACGCATTTGCTGTGCTAATGTTTCCAGCGAGCGCCAAAAACGACCAAGAAATAGCAAACGCACCGCCAACGTGAGTGGTCCCATGGGATGTCCAGCTCCAAGTTCCATGGATTTGTCGATGTCCTCCACTGATCCGTCGCCCCGCTCGTACATAAGCATTCCTTGCGCAAGGCCGGGTACGAGCAGCCTATTCGGGTGTTCCACCAGAGATGCGAAAAGGTTCGCACGAGAGATGCAAAAAGGAAAAATCTATTTGAGTCAAAGGGTACGGCTGGGCACTCGCCATCCTTGATACTGCTGGCCAACGGTTACGCTGCTGAGGGCTTGTGTGATGGCTTTTCATCCCACCTGTTGACGATAAATTATTGTTGGTGTTGGTGTGATAGCTACCCCATCCCACCTGGCCACGATAATACCTGACTGGGGTATGCGTGACACTAGCTACCTACCCCATCCCCACCTGTTGACGATAAAGCCAGGCGTGTCCACGCACGACACCGGGTGCTTGCCGACGGTCTGTGCCCAAGACTTGCACTCCTCGAAGACGGCCGGGTCAGTCACATCGCAACGGACCACCTCCACCAGCTTCATCAGTTGCACGGGGTTAAAGAAGTGAAGGCCGACGACGTGTGACGGGCGCCCCGAAGCTACGGCCATTTCCTGGAATGAGGAGCAAAAATCGGCATGCATGTATTGTGGGAGGGGAGCGGGAACGAGCTTATTTTCACGGCCATTTATCCTGGAAGGAGGAGCAAAAATCGGCATGCATGTGTTGTGGGAGGGGGGGCGGGTGAGAGCTTACTTTCGCGGCCATTTATCCTGGAATGAGGAGCATCAAGCGGCATGTGTTGTGGGAGGGGGACCTGGTGAGCGAGCATGTACGCGGTAGTGAAGCGATCCGCGCGGAAGAGATACCTATAGAAGCCGAAATCAAATCATTAAGACTTGTCGGCGCTGTGCTGACTAGTGGGATCGTTTGATTTTCGGCTTGTGTAAGAAGACAGTCGTGGGTTCCACATGCGGCGCAACTCGCGACTGTTCGTCGCACCCCCACCCTGACACTCAAGACGTATTCCAGAGGAAGTCACCGTGATGCTCCAGATCTATTCGAGAGGATTTCACCTTGATGCTCAACGAAGACGTGTTGGAGGCCAGGATGCAGGCCGGACGAGTGACTCGCACGAGGTCCTTGAAGAGGGAGAACTTTATCTCCGGGTTCTCCGTGATCGCCTCCACGACCAAGTCGCAATCCGCCAGGGCCGACACGTCCGAAGCGTACGATATCCGCGACGAGATCCCCTCCTTCTGAGCGGCGGCGTCTCCCTCCGTAAGAACGCCCTTCTTCACCTTCCGGTCCAGCATCTTCGAGAGCGACTGGTCGATCCGCTTCTTACCAGCGTCCATGGAGTCCTTGCTCCCGTCGACGGCGACGACCGTGTACTCCGGGGACGAGGCCATCGCGGTCACCTGGACGACACCGTGACCCATAAGCCCAAGCCCGACAACGCCGACCTGGCAAGGCATGAGGAGGCGCCGAGGGTTTGGTTTTTGAGTGTCCATTGGTTGTGGAGTAAACGACACAAATTCTGTGCGCGCTGATTTGATGTCAAGACAACAACAAAACAAACTGGGAAGGTTGGCTTGTGACCACGGAAGGCGTCCGCGTCGGTTGGATCAGTACGGGCATTAAAAGGTACTGGGTGGAGACCGGAACGGCTTTTAGTGCGAAGACAGCAATGCATGGAGCAGGTTGGTGGGCTGTACTTGCTTGGGGCGGTGCTCAACTTGATGTCATCACTCTGTCCACCTCGACCGGAATTATTGTCAAGAATTGCATGTGCACTCGAAATGGAGCGCTGGACCTCTCGATGTAGTTATCGAGAACCTATACATGTACATCTGGGAATTCCTGCTGGTCAGCCAATCCACGGAGAATCTCGAGCTTCTTCGTTCAAAGACTTACGCATAGTCTGAGACTCTTTTCTACGGAGCAAATGTTGTGCTTTTGCGGAGTGTCTACATGTATAGAGGCGGGTGCTTAACATACAGACGACTTACATGATATTTTTCTACGATTTTTGCACTTGATTTTGCCCTTCAAGGTACACTGAGCACCACCCAAATAGACAACAGGGAGCACCGGGGGACGAGCGGGGCTGCCTCATGTGCAGCCCCGCTATTGTAGGCAAGAGAGAGAAGCACACCGCTTTCTTCTGGCACCGCCGCTGCTCCAAACAAGCCACATCAACCCGAAAACCAAGCGGCGAAAGTGCAGACAACTGTAATGCTTTGTCGTGGTTTCCCTCCCGTCCGAACAGAAAGTGTGATACATTCGGAATAAGAGGGGTAGAGGGCTGCAGCGTTTCTTGTTTAGGGTGTTGTTGTCTCAGCAAGTCAGGCCAAGCCCTCGTGGTTCTCGGCACATTGCCAAGATAGCGGAACAATCGTACACCGATTTGCATTTCAACCCGAGGCGAACGGACAGGCCTCCAGCAGCAGAACTACTGTTGCTGTGAGTGAAAGAAGTTTGCTACGGCAGCAGCAATCGACAGCCCCTGCCTTAGGTACCCACCCCGTGTAGTATAAGCGCAATGCCAGCCGGACGCAACCACATATCGAAAGCAGAGGGAAGGTCGTTATTACCTTCGACGGGAGGTTGCGTTGCAGCACACGGAAAATTGCAGAACAAAGAGAGGGCGACGAGTGTGGCATGCGTTCTCCTCGGGAGACACACCGACGGCCGACACGCACGCCATTACCTGCTTGATCGTCGAGAGTTCCCGCGTGAGTTGCCACCGCCTGCTAGCCCCACGGCTAAGCAGTCGGGTAGACGACGCTAGCATCATGATGACTGCTGTTGACTTGACGTTGCACCGACTGAGATGCGCCGGGTTTATTTGGATCCAGCTATCCAGCTGCCCGCTGTCTGTTTCCTCCGATAGTACAGAAGTCTGCTTTGAAGAGCTCGGCCAGACAGCTTGATGCGGTCGCAGATACCCTCCTAGATCCAACCGCGGTCCTTCTCGTGGCAGTGCAGGTGTGTCTGGGGGGAGGTGAAAGAGGGAAAGACGAAAGTGAGAAGTGCGGGGGGATAGCGCGAGGGGCACCCCAGACCGCGCCATGTATTGAGTGCATATGTATTTCTTTGTGTTCCGATCTGCTAACCCCCTCGATCCTGATGTCATCAGCGTCACTCTGTGCTGTTGCGGCGGCTGTTGTGGTCTTTGCTTTGCTGATAAGTCTGGCTAGCAGGCCATGGCGTTGCGATGTCGATCACTGGTGTCCCTCTTGTTAACCCTTTTCCCGCCAAGTGCATCATGGACAGCTGTCCGGCCTACATTGCACTCGCCGAGCAGTTCAACAAGAAGCAACCAATTTGCCTCATCTGTAGTCCGGCCGCAATTTCCCGCGGTGTGGAGTCGGCGGGCATGCCGATCGAGAGGGGCGTTGAGGATGGGAGCAGGGAAGGATGATATAGAGGAAGAAGTAAGGGAGATGAGGGCATCGAAGATCAAGCTAGCGTTAGAAGAGATGAGCGTGCCCACCACGGGCGTTTTTGAGGTGAGAGTGTGATGGAGAACAAAGTTGCAGCAGCGAGAATTGTGTGCTGAGAATGTGTCATGTTGCTTCTGCTGTGCACTACAACCAAGCAGCTGACAGAGCGCTGCCCAACACAAAGAGACTTCACGGAATACACACTGCCTGTCCACCATCTGAGTCGCATGCGAGTTTTGGCCATCTTTGCTTTGTTCTGTTTTGCCACGTACCGGTCTTCGTGCTAGCGTCAACAGCGTTTTGCAATGATTCATGTTGCAGCATGCATGTTAAAGCAGTAGCGTGTGATACAAACACGAAAGTACTTCTGTTTTTTTATTTTGTCAGTACTAGATCGGGAGGTTGAATAGTTTTTTTTGGTTGAAAAAAATACCTGCAGTAGGCTTGTGCGTCTGTTATCATTGGCCCGTTTACTACACAGCAGTATTACAATATGTTGATTGAGGTGTGAGGGGCGCCAATCAATGTGATGGACTCCGAAAAAAAATAACGTCTTGGAAAAAAAAGACACCTCCACACGGACTCGAGCCCATCATTTCAAGAGTCAGGGTGGCCTTCACCGAAATCACGAAGTGAATTGGCTTGTTTTACAACGTCGTTGCCAACCGACGAAAACCCAATCCCGATGGCAAACACCGCGGGGGAGGGAGGTGTACTCCGGGGGGGAGGGAGGGGTGTGGTATATTAAAAAATAGGGCTAGCAGCTAAAAAAAAAAATGTCTCTGCTGTTGTGTTTCGCTTGTTGGTTCGAGCTTTGATCGAGAAATCTCATAAGCGTTCAAGCGTGTGATGGGTAACCAGGCTAGCACGGGAGGCACTGGTCGCACATTAGGCCTTCGCGCACAAAAGTGTAGAGAGGCGTACAGCAGTACAGTCNGGGTGTGGTATATTAAAAAATAGGGCTAGCAGCTAAAAAAAAAAATGTCTCTGCTGTTGTGCTTCGCTTGTTGGTTCGAGCTTTGATCGAGAAATCTCATAAGCGTTCAAGCGTGTGATGGGTAACCAGGCTAGCACGGGAGGCACTGGTCGCACATTAGGCCTTCGCGCACAAAAGTGTAGAGAGGCGTACAGCAGTACAGTCGCACTGTGGACATTGGCCGTGGTAGTCACAGTGTAGGAAGGTTCTACGGAGATCTTGGGGACTCCGTGTGTGAAGATATCACAGGGGCCATACCCTGTGTGTGAGGATTGTGTGGACTCTCCGTCTTGTGTTCCACTCCTCCTATCTTGTGATCGATGATATAATACAAGTGAAGAAAAAACATCACCAGCCCCTTGGGGGAAAGGAGTCCTGATGGCTCGAGGACAACTCCAACTGTCCATAGCACCAATGGTGGTGCGTAGCAGCGTCGGTGTGTTGTTGGTGTCATGTGCCCCTCTCCGCGAAAAGAGAGAGAGAGAGGCCGCCGCTGCTGCTGCTGCTGCTGCTGCAACCAAATGTTGATCTCTCCTCTTGCTTCCTCCGCCGATAGCTAACAGCAGCAGTGTATAGCACACCCTTCTCCCGCGGTCTTGCCCTCCCTGTGGTCTGTGTCTCCCTCTCCCTGTTTGTCCATGTCTGGCTCTGTGTGTGTGTGGTGTGTGGTGTGCGAGGCTATCTGTCTTGGTTCAAAATCAAACGACGCCTCCTCTCGGTGTTTCAAGGGGCCAGCAACTTCCCTGCTTCAAGTTGGGTACCGACGCTGCACTTTCTGGACGTACCGAGCACGGATTGAAGAGGTAGCAGTTGGGGCAGCTCGGGCAAAAATATTACTTGTTGTGAACACGTCTTAGATTGCAATTTGGTGCCGAGATAGTTGTTGTTGTTGTTGTTGTTGGTTCACACTCTATAGTCCACAAAAAATGGGGAGCCCGTGGTCTCAAAACCCGGCACATACGACGCCGCGGGGAAACAAAACAAAAATAGGGTACAAAAAACCACTCGGAAAAAGATAACAATATGATAGAAAGAAAATAACAGGTATCGCACCGACCGTTCGAGAAAAGAGCCCTCGGAAACCGATCAAAATA